TCCGGGACCTGGTCGGCTCACGAGTCCTGCATAAACCTTTTGGACCTATTCACAAACCCCAAGATTTTGGACCATTTTATCTTGGGGAGTGTTTTGGTTATGTCCTCTCCTTCGAAACTTTCAATTCTTTCCCTAGCATACCTATCACATTATGCAAGGTAGTGTCGAGCCGTTTCTTCCTTTGTTTCACAGAAGCGGTCTGGTAGAGTACTCATTATGAAGAGGTGTCTTCTCAGTAGGCAGTGGCCCGTCAGAATACCTATCAGCCTCCTAATTACCCTCCTAGAGTTAGAGAATAGCCATTTCGTTTCTTTTGGTTTGATTTCCTTCAGAAACTCCTTCGATTGCCTGTGTCCGGGAGACATATTCCATTCTTTAAGGAATTGTTTCATGCCCCAGCAACTAATACTCTCTTTCGCTGTGCTTATAGAGTGGGGTAATACCGATTGTGGCCCGACAAACGCAGTATTTGATCCTTCTTTGGCCAGGCTGTCCGCCTCTTTATTATCACAGTGCCCCTGAGCAGGTATCCATATGAGGGTTACCCTATTCTCGTCCCTAGTAGTTATCCTATTGATAAGTTCAACGGTTTCCTCTACCAGCCTAGATGTAGATAATTCTTTTTGTAATGACTTAAGACTGGCCTGACTGTCGGAAAAAATTCTAATATCTTTTCCCTTAGTATTATTATCCATGAGTGTTCTACAGCAAACATTGATGGCCCAGACCTCAGCCTGAAAGATTGAGGTGTTATTACCAAAAGGGGAGGAGATGCTGATTACTAATTTGTGTATGTGTATACCAGCACCGCTTCCCTTATCCTTAATGAGTGAGCCATCGGTGAAGCAATCTATGCTATTATGGTCATCATCCGCATTATAGTTATAATCACATGGAGTAACTACCTTAAATTGTTTTTTCCCCAAAGGTGTTTTAACCTTTTTGTCGCTAGCACTTATTAGTTGGTTATTAACCTTACTCAGTAAATGTAGAATTTTCGAGTGTCCTATATTGTTTCCCTTATGATTCCAGCTGCCTTCACTAATTAATCTATAGCAGGTTAGTACTCTAACCTTGAACTCTATGTGTAGAGGTGCAGTATTGGTTATCATTTCTAGTGCTAGGGTAGGTGTAGTGGGAAATGCTCCCGTCATCATCATACAACCTAGTCTTTGAAATGATCTTAGTTTGTTAATAGCCCCTTTTATTTTCTAGCCCTTTCCACCATACTAGGGCTGCAAATAGAAATCTCGGTAGTATAATTACTACAGCGGTACTACAGCAGTTTGCTAAGAAAAATTGACGCAGAGATCAAGCCTTTTAATTTTTACCTTTGATATTGTTTGTTTGATTCAAATTTGTTCTTAGATACACTAGACTATCTTAGTCAATGGGTATTACCAAGCGATTATTTAATAATAAATTGAATGTGGTGATTAGTGACCGCTAGTCAATAATTATTCTCACACAACTCAAGAGGGCACTCTCAACACACACGCAAGAATGGTTCATTTACGCAGAAAAACACTTTGAGCCCTGAAGATGATCTCAACAAAGATCGAAACGTTTTTTGTAAATTAACCGTTAGGTTCCATAGGTCGCAGTATTTCGCCAGTCTTTTAATTGTAGAGAGGAAACGTAATCCGCAAGCAAGACCACATCGTCCGCGTACATGAGGGTTATATATACGAGTTGCTAACCTTGATTGCATTCAAAGATGTAGGTAAATCATCAATAAAAATAGAGAAGAGAAGTGGGCTAAGAGTACAGCCCTGCCTTACGCCTGATTCCACGCGAAACCAGTCTGAAACGCCTGTTTTCCCCCGTAGTGATCTTTTGCCATAAACGGATTTAATTATATGGATTAACTTAGAAGATATGCCAAGGTTATAAAGTTTTAATATCAGTGCTTGCCACGATCAAAAGCTGCCTTAAAATCGACAAAGAAGCAATAGAGTTTTTGTCTTCTTTTCATCATTTTTAATTTTATGATATTAAGTAAAACAAATATGTTATCTATTGTTTAGAATTCGAATTAGTAACTATACTAGATTAAAGTTCAAGAACATAATGTTTAATTCGTTAATGTTTACATTTGGTTGGCGTTGGTAAGTCCCAATCGACCTGCAAATCAGATTTGTGGAGTACCCCTATACGCTTAAAAAATTCTTTGACAGCATTATGTATTTCCTCCTTTATCCATTCCATGTTAGTATTTTCATGTAACTCAGTCAGCCTTAAATTTCTGGCAGATGCGGTGGCCAGTCGCGAAAATTTATTTTGCACCACTTTGAACTTATTGGTGTTTGGCTAGTAAAATTCCGTACTGGGCATGGTTATAGCAACGTAGGCTTATTTATTTTTATTTTTTTTAACGAGGGTTCGCAACAGCAGAGGTTATATCAACCCTCGGGGTGCCGGTTTTTTTTTTATAGCCCATTTGTAAGTATGTTGGGTTCAAATGCAGGGCCGCTGGATTCGAACCCGGGACCTTTACCTTACAGTGATGAGCGCCATGTCAACGCCTAAACCATTGCGGCCACCGACGCCCTACAACTTAGGCTTAATTTCAGTCTTAAATATTAGTAATTGTTGATGCTATTATTCCAGATTCTCTCCTGAGCAAAGGGAAAAGTAATTGTATCGCCGCTTTGGATTTGCACACAAGATTGTTTATGTGTGTGCCAAAATTTAATTTCGAGTTCGATGTAGGTTGATGTAGGTTACCGTTTTTGACCAATTAATAGACTTTCCCTCGAGGGAAATATTATGGGAGAGCATGGGCCTATTTTTGGTGAACGGAATGCAGCTCGTTTTGGATGTATTAATTTTTAGCTTTCGTGTGGTGCAAAAACGCTTGCACTTTTTCGAGCTATTTTTAACAATAGCACCAATCCTCTAGGAGGAACAGTAAAACGCAATATCATCGGCGTAAAATGGTAGTGGCATTTTGGTTAGCTTACTGGCACCTTTAGGTTAGGCAGAGCATTTAGAAAAATGCAAAAATTGTCGGATCCAGAATTGACCCTGGAGGGACATCAGCTTTAAGAGTGATATGTGAAGATAGTAGGACGAAGGGCAGGCTTAATTGCAGGTAAAAGTGCACCTTAATAACTTCTTGATTATACAATTTGGAAAATTACACTCAAGCATTCTGTAAATAATTCCATCTCGCCATACGGTGTCAAAGGCTTTTTCCATATCAGTGGGAACAAGTCCTGTATGTTTTAGTTAAAAACCTTCAGTGACGTGATTTATACCCTTGCAAGTTGACCTACTGTGCTAAGCGGCTACTTTACGCAGAGTAGCTAAATGAGTTTCCATCTTGGATAAACTCGACGGAAGTTCTTGTGCCCGGTTAAAAAAAAAGAAAAGTATGTTAGTTTAGAGACTTTCCAGCAATTCGGTTTCCTTAGATATTTGGTAGAGTCCAGGTGACTTTCGTTCCACGTGATAGAATGATTTCGCAATCACGTGGAACGAAAGTCACCTGGACTCGACCATCTAAGGAAACCAAATTGCTGGAAAGTGTCAAAAGTAATATAATTTATTTTTACCTTAGAAATAAATAATAATGATAATTCACTAGTTTTAGTGGTCCGCTTGACCAATTAATGTATTTCAATTAATTAAGGTTTTTAGTTGAGATAAAAAGTCAGTGTCACGAGCGGGATTCGAACCCAAGACCTTCGGCTAAATACGCCGCTTCTCTACCACTTGAGCTATCGCGACCTCGATGCACTCGGACACTAACTTCCCATCTGAACCCCACCTTATGAGTTTTCCCTCCTTTTTGCCATTTTTCAAATGTCGTGTAATCTTTTTGATTCTTGGGGACAAATGAAATGGCCACGGAGAGCTTTAGTGAAGGTATATTTCATTTTAAACTTATTACATTCACTAGTTTTCGTGGTCCGCTTGATCAATTGAGATGGGAAGTTGGTGTCCGAGTGGATCGAGGTCACGATAGCTAAAGTGGTAGAGCAGCGGCGTATCAAGCCGAAGGTCGTGGGTTCGAATCCCGCTCGTGACACTGACTTTTTTATCTCAACTAAAACCTTAATTAATTGAAATAATAATAATTTCGATTAATTATTCTTTTTATGTAAGGTCTTGGTTGAGATGAAGAAGTTAGTGACACGAGCCGGATTCGAACCCACGACGGCCTAGGACCTCTTGAATTTTTCTCTCTTTTTTGCCATTTTTCAAACGTGGGTTCGAATCCCGCTCGTGACACTAACTTTTCCATCTCAAGACCTTACATAAAAAGAATAATTAATTGAAAGAAGTAATTTGGTAATTATACCACTAAACATAATGAAAATAATAATAAAGTGAATAATATAATAATAAATTAATAGTTTCTCTTGGGACAGGGATAGGTGGACAAAAATATAACGCGTGCTTACTTTAAAAAGTTTTTTTTAAAAAAAGTAGTAAGTAAGTTAAAAATCAAAATTTAAAAAATTTTAAATTTTAAAACGAACGTTATTTTTTTATTTACCCGTATAACAGAATGTGTGTGATATCAAACCAATGAGTTGTTTTGTATTGGATTTGATTCTCCCATTTCCTCGTTTCGAAAAAAAAGTTTTTAGATTACAAAAGAAATCAATAAATAATTATCTAAAAAAAAAACAAATTCAAGATAACGTCTAAACAAAGGGTAAAGGAAATTTCAGTTTAAAATTTAGTCTGTGTGGTGTTTAGTGACCGTTAGCCAAAGATTATTTGGAGACCGTGAAATGCGGTCTGGTGTGAAGTAGGTTTAAAAAAAACATTTTCTTTATCGTGCGACGTTTCGACCTTTATTGAGGTCATCTTCAGGGCTCAAAGTGTTTGTTTTTATTTGTTGTCATTTTTATGTGTCGTGGGCACTCTCAACACGACATAGAAAACAAACACTTTGAGCCCTGAAGATGACCTCAATAAAGGTCGAAACGTTGGCAGGATAAAGAAAATGTTTTTCTAAAACCTACCTCACGCGACACCGCATCTCACGATCTCAAGTAGTGTTAAACGTTTTGCATAAGGAGGGGAATAAATGAAAATGGTTTAAACCGCGATTTCCTGGGTTTGTTATTTTCACGTTTTTTTCCTCACTGGCAGTTATAATATACGGGCGATATCGTCCATGAAGTGGACCAGATTCGGAAGATTTCAAGTACGCATGGATTGAACGGCCGTTTATCAAACGCCGATACCTGCATCGTATATAAAACAATCTTCACGACAAATTTGTCAGTCACCGTGCCAATAACCCTGCGACCATGCTGTAAGTTTTAAGGGTGAATGTTTGAGAAAGAGGGATTTTCGAGATGGAGTGGACTAAATTGGGGTTCGGATGATTAGAGCCTTTTCCGACATCAATTTGTCTCATTTTATTTTTTCTTGCAAAAGATTCCGTTCTATTATTAAATAAATGATTTATTTTAGTTGAAGTTTGATTATTATTGTTTTATTTGCAAGTTTTCTTTTTTATTCTCACGCAGACCAACGTAATTCGGCAAAAAATCTTAATTTTTTGTGATCACCTGTTTGTATTTATTAATGTATATGTTTGTAGATTCTTGCTTAAATGTAATCATCACCTCTCACACTCTTTCTGTCTCACTCTCTCACTTTCTTCACTCTCTCTGTATGATAGTGATTTTAGTTAGCATGCGTATACAATGTATGAATACATAATTCAGTAGATTCATATGTGAATTATCGTGAAAAGACTGAATTATTTCAATTAATTATTTTTTTAAAGTAAGGTCTTGGTTGAGATGAAAAGCCGATGGTCGTGTGTTCAAATCCCGCTCGCGAGACTAACTTTTTCATCTCAACCAAGACCTTACATAAAAAGAATAATTAATTGAAATAATTCAGTAGTTTTATTTATTTTTATTAGGTTTCGTGGTCCGCTTGACGAATGAATTCTTTACAATTAATTAATCTTTAATTAAGGTTTTGGTTGAGATAAAAAAAAGTCAGTGTCACGAACGGGATTCGAACCCACGACCTTCGGCTAAATTTTTCCCTTCTTTTTTGCCATTTTTCAAATGTTGTGTAATCAAGATTCGATTCTCGGCGACAAATGAACGGTTTTTTATCTCAACCAAAACCTCAATATATGATTAATTAATTGAAAATAATTTATTTGGTCAAGCGGAGCACGAAACCTAATAAATGTAATAAGCAAAAATGAAGTATACTTCACTAAACCTCTCCGTGGCCAATTTCATTTGTCGCCGAGAATCAAATAGATTACACGACATTTGAAAAATGGCAAAAAAAGGAGGGAAAATCAAAAAGGTGGGGTTGAGATGGGAAGTTAGTGTCTAAGTGGATCGAAGTCACGATAGCTCAAGTGGTAGAGCAGCGGCGTATTTAGCCGAAGGTCGTGGGTTCGAATCCCGCTCGTGACACTGACTTTTTTTATCTCAACCAAAACCTTAATTAAAGATTAATTATTTGAAAATAATTCAGTAGATTCATATGTGAATCATCTTAGCAAAATCTCTCCTCTCTCTCACACAATCACTTGTTCCTTATTCACTCACTCTTGTCTTTATTTTTGTGTGTTTAGTTAACATTTGTTACATAAATAAACATATTCTATATATTTTATATATAGACACATATGTGAATCATCTTAGCAAAATTTCTACTGTCTGTCTGTCTGTCTCTCTCTCTCTCTCTCTCTCTCTCTCTCTCTCTCTCTCTCTCTCTCTCTCTCTCTCTTTCTCTCTTCTCAGATAATTACATACACACATGTTTTTGTAGCTGTTTTAGATTAAGAACAATTGCCGTGTTCCTTTGCGTTGCTGTCTTACTGGAATTATCAGAGGCGGACGTTTTAATTAATCAACGTAAGTAATTTATAATAACAATTTGTTCTATTATCGCTCTAATTTTACGCCTATTGTTTTGTTATGTAATTTTAAGTGATTCTTGAACTGCCACTGGGCCCGTCTGCACTTGTGGGTTTCGATGTCACTCAAACGCATTTCGGCTCTGGGCTTGGTTCGCTCTCCGTTCCCCACTGAAGATGGCCACCGAATGCCACTCAACCGATTGGTATAACAATATCCACTACGCGTTATTCAATAAATAGAAGTTCCTTCTTGAGCACAAAGGAATTATTTGTGACTTTAGATCATTATTTTAGAAAATGTTTTAAAACCATTGGTTCAAGGAGATAGGCTATGTCTTGCCAATCTTCTCCGAGCTGTTTCAAAAGACCTGTATGTGATGGTCAGGACTTGATTTTAATGTTTGTATTAATGAGATAACTGTCATCCTTGAACGAGGACAGGAAACCCGCAGGTGAATCAGAAATGACATATCCTTTCAAAGGAACAATTACGTACTACCGGCTCAATATGCATGGGTTTCCCCCAAAAATAATATCTTATACTTAAAAACCTCAAAAACGAACGAACTGTAAATAGAACTTCACTTTTTCTGAGAATACATGGCCGGACCTCGCTCATTCTGGCACAATCTATTTGGTCTAAAAACAGACAAATCAAAGCTGTATTAAATTGAGTACAATTAATTCATTTGTCAACAAATGAGAATATTTTATAAACTAGTAGTGATAGGTGGTACATTTTCATAATTTATGTTAGATACAGTGAATAAGGAATCGGCCAATTTGAATTTAGTGAAATTTACACTAGGTTGTTAAAATGATTTTTTGGGCTCAATTCAAATTTTTTTTTGAGTGATAATTTTGCATAATCGATTTTCTGTTACCAGGAGTCCGCATGGGTTGCGTTAGGTTAGGTTAGAGTTAGTTTAGGTTAGGTTAGGTTAGGGTAAGAGTTTCCATGATGAAGTTTTAGCTGAATGTAGAATATTTATTTATTCCGTAATAAAATAATAAATTTATATTTCAAAAATACATAATAAATAATACAGTCCTGTACATCTTAATCATAATTTTAATAATTAAAAGTATAATAATATTTAAAATAAAAAGTTTTGTTTTAAGGTGATGATTCGTTTTTCGACCGTTTTACTGGATTAACATCGCATGTGAGGAAAGCACGGAGCAGACAAAATGAGGAAACTAAGGACGATGCTTACGAAAGCGGAAAAGAAGGTTATGATGGCAGCCAGTATGTTCAAAGATCCAAGGAAGGACTTCAGGTCAGCGAAACAAAGAGACACGAGACAGACTCAAATAATCAAAATTCACGCTCTCGAAGAAACGAGGGTAAGGATCAAGGCGAAGTAAACAACCAAACGGATAAAAATCAAGACAGCGATACGAACAGAAAAGATAACACGGATAAACAAACATACAACACTTTATTAACTGTTCTGCCTAGCGGCGGTCAGGGAAATAAAGGAAAATGGAGTTGTACTTTGTATCGTTGCAGGCCAACTAACGTGACGAATAAAGATCAAAGAGGAAACGGGAATGCCAGGATTTGTCCTTTGGTATTAAACCTGAGGGATCACGGATCATTTGCCAGGCCTTTTCCAGTTTTTGTGTTTAGAAACGACAAACCGGAAAATCAGAAAACTAATAGTGCACCCACAGACCAGGTAAACGAACAGACGGATGACGGAAAAAGTATGGAAGATAAAAGACATCAGGGTGTCCAAACATTCACGGGGCCGATGATTTTCGCTCCTTGTCAAAACTGGTTCAACCAAGGAAGACATTTTTACACCGGGAATCCTTTCAGCTCCAACCGAGGCCATAACCCGAGCGTCGCCATTTCAACGTACAGGACAAACGAACAAAATGAAGAGGAAGTATTAACTTTATACAAAGATAAAGACCAAAATGGCTCTAGCGTTCAAACAGAGAATCCCGTTCCTCATCAAAACTTGATCGCACCAGGCGCTGTCTACACGTTGAATCCTTCCAGCTTCGGCCCAGGCCAAAGCCCAAACGCCGCTTTTTCCACGTACAAGGCAATCGAACATACAAAAGAGGAAATATCTACTATAGACAAAAATAAACTGCAAAATGCGGCTAGCGTCCAAACAGAGAATCCCGTTCCTCATCAAAACTTGATCGCACCAGGCGCTGTCTACACGTTGAATCCTTCCAGCTTCGGCCCAGGCCAAAGCCCAAACGCCAACCCAAACGCCGCCTTTTCCACGTACAAGACAATCGAACATACAAAAAAGGAAATATCTACTATAGACAAAAATAAAATGCAAAATGCGGCTAGCGTTCCCTCATCAAAACTTGATCGCACCAGGCGCTGTCTACACGTTGAATCCTTCCAGCTTCGGCCCAGGCCAAAGCCCAAACGCCAACCCAAACGCCGCTCTTTCCACGTACAAGGCAATCGAACATACAAAAGAGGAAATATCTACTGAAGACAAAAATAAACTGCAAAATGCGGCTAGAGTTCAAACAGCAAATACCGTTCCTCATCAAAACTTGATCGCACCAGGCACTACCCTCACCGGCTATCCTTTCAGCTTCCAGCAACCTTGCCATTTCGATTTCGGGTGCAACTGTGGATCTTACTGCGATCAGCCCTACTTTTACAATTGTCCCGATAACTTTTTCGGCGACCCCATGGACTATTTTGCAGACGATTTTTTCTCTCCTTCGTTTATGTAAATTCTTAATCTGATTTGGGATATTGGGTATGTGGTCCTTATTTATTGCATTGTTAATGGTCCATTAATAAGTAATCTTTTCAGCGTTACGTTGGACAAAATAGACTTTTTTGGGCAAGGAAGAAAAGATTGATTTTTTTCTACAAAAAACAATCGAAAATCAACAAACATAAAATATCAAAGAAAGCACAAAAGATTTATAAAATTTTTCCTCTCTCCAGCAACCCTGGAAGAAATATAATAATAATAAAATAAAAGTATAATATCTGTAAAGATAATTTTCTTTTGAGACTATAATGTTATTCAGTCACTTTTTCTCTCAATCGCTCAAATTTAACTTGAAATTATACTAAACGAATTTATTGAGTGTGGAACTAAATATTTTATAAACAGAATGTCAAGAATTTCAGGTGAATCTATGTACCATAATAAAGTAAGCCATGGATTATTTCAAACTACGTTGTTGGTTATATACAAATAAAACTTGACCCAACTTCAAATTTCATATTTTTGAATAATTATTTTTCCCTATTTCTGTTTATAAGCGCCGTAAAAATTATTAGTGTAAAAAAGAAGAAAAAAATCACTATACAACTATTAAGAAAGCAGAACATCGTCATTAGTTTGTTAAGTTTATATATACATTAGAAATCGTGAGATGCGGTCTGGTGTGATGTAGGTTTCAGAAAAACATTTTCTTTATCGTACCAACGTTTCGATCTTTATTGAGATCATCTTCAGGGCCTGGGATTTACAAACATTGTATGTCTAGTCACAAATTGTTTTTATAAAATGATGGCTGCAGTGAAGAGGTAAGGGTTAAGTAGGAAACTTTTAACTTTCGGGAAATCCGGTTCGATATTATTTAATTTATTATTAGAGAAATTGATTAAAATATTTTTCTTGGATGAAACAAAGTTGGTATTCGTTTTTCTTACCCCAAAATACAAGTCAATAAAATTTTTCGGGAAAATCAAAAATCTTTATCATTATCTCATTATCTTTATCATTTTTACAAATCACAAAATTTTTTGATAACTTTCAAAAGACTGTTTCACTGAAAACTTTACAATAATTTATAATCATATAAACTACGCGTAATTAGACAAATAAATTAAAGCCAGACATACAAAATAAAACTTAATTAATTAAGGTTTTTAGTTGAGATGAAAAAAAGTCAATGGCACGAGAGGGATTCGAACCCACTACCTTCGGCTTGATACGCCGCTGCTCTACCACTTGAGCTCTCGTGACCTCGATCCACTCTGACACTAACTTCCCATCTCAACCCCACCTTTTGAATTTTCCCTCCTTTTTGCCATTTTCCAAATGTCGTGTAATCGGTTTGGATTCTTGACGACAATTGAAATGGCGACGGAGAGCTTTAGTGAAGTGTACTTCATTTTTAAATCATTCACTAATTTCGTGGTCCGCTTGACCAATTGATACATATCAATTAATTAAGGTTTTTAGTTGAGATGAAAAACTCAAAAAATGAAAAATTGCAAAAGGAGGGAAAACTCATAAGGTGGGGTTGAGATGGGGAGTTGATGTCCGAGTGGATCGAGGTCACGATAGCTCAGGTGGTAGAGCAGCGGCGTATCGAGCCGAAGGTCGTGGGTTCGAATCCCTCTCGTGCCATTGACTTTTTTTCATCTCAACTAAAAACCTTAATTGATATGTATTAATTGGTCAAGCGGACCACGAAATTAGTGAACAAAATAAAACGTTATAAGCGTTTTTGCTCATTTCATCCTTATTTTTCTCACTTATAATGATATAAAATCGAAACTTGAAATAACATGAAAGAAGAGTAATTAAATTTTCCAATAGTTGCAACGAAGCCAATTTTTATAAAATCCAGGTGAGTTATGAATTTTTACGTGGATCATTAGACAAGGACGTGTAAAGAAAATCGCCTTACCCAGCCATAAATGTATATTTTTTGTTTACTATGAAAATTCACATTTAAGAGTGTTAAAGGCTGCTTAAACTAATCCGAATTCTGTTTTTCCAAAAGGATTTTTGGTGCCTATTTTACTAGAAGCGTATTTTTGTTTTGTAACTTTTTATACATTTAGTCTCATATGATATGATTCTGCAAATTATTTTCTTATCTCACGTACAAAAACGAATCAACTGATATAATAACTTTTCAGTTAATTAAGGTTTTGGTTAAGATTAAAAAATACTTGGTTTTTTTTTGCCGAAATATTTGAGATATGATTACATGGAAAAATAAAACTAAATTCGTCAAGGAATAAACATGTATAAATGATAATTTTATTAGGTTTGATGGTCCGCTTGACCAAATAAATTCTTTTCAATTAATTAAGGTTTTGGTTGAGATAAAAAGTCAGTGTCACGAGCGGGATTCGAACCCGCGACATTCGGCTAAATATGCCGTTGCTCTACCACTTGAGCTATCGTGACTTCGATCCACTCGGACACTAACTTCCCATCTCAACCCCACCTTTTGAATTTTCCCTCCTTTTTTATCTCAACTAAAAACACGTACGTTTTTCAGCTAGTTCATTTTGATCTTTGAAGTATCTGCACTCATGGATGTTATTGATTCAATTCACTAGTTTTCGTAGTCTGCTTAGCCAATTAATATCTTTCAATTAATTAAGGTTTTTAGTTGAGATAAAAAAGTCAGCGTCACGAGCGGGGTAATTAATAATTGTAATAAGTTTAATGATGGCGAAAAGGAGGGAAAATTCAAGAGTTGGGGTTGAGATGGGAAGTTAGTGTCCGAGTGGATCGATGTCACGATAGATCAAGTGGTAGAGCAGCAGCGTATTGAGCCGAAGGTCGTGGTGACACTGACTTTTTTATTTCAACCAAAACCTTAATTAATTGAAAAGTAATTATTTCAGTTGATTAGTTTTTGTACGTGAGATAAGAAAATAATTTGCAGAATCATATTGTATGAGACTAGATGTATAAAAAGTTACAAAACAAAAATACGCTTCTAGTAAAATAGGCACAAAAAAGCCTTTTGGAAAAACAGAATTCGGATTTTTTAGCAGCCTAAATAAGCAGCCTTTAACACTCTTAAATGTGAATTTTCATAGTACACAAAAAATACAAATTTTTGGCTGGGTTGGGCGATTTTCTTTTCACGTTCATGTCCAGTGATAAAAATTGGCATTATTGTAACTATTGGAAAATTGAATTATTCTTTTTTCATGTTATTTCAAGTTTAGATTTTATAGCATTATAAGTGAGAAAAATGAAATGAGCAAAAACACTTTAAACGTTTTATTTTGTATTTCTAGCTTTAATTTATTTGCGTAGTTTATAGGATTTTTTTTTCTACGAGGGTGCGCAACAGCAGAGGTCATATCAACCGTAGGGGTGCCTGTGTCTTGGTAAAAAACCCATTTTTAAGAGTGTCGGGTTGGAATGCAGGGCCGCTAGATTCGAACCCGGGACCTTTACCTTACAGTGGACCGGCCACCGACGCCCCTCATTTGCTCATTACATTTTATTAGGTTGTCGCCGAGAATCAAATAGATTACACGACATTTGAAAAATTGCAAAAAGGAGGGAAAATAAAAAAAAAAGGTGGGGTTGAGATGCGAAGTTAGTGACCGAGTGGATCGAAGTTACGATAGCTCAAGTGGTAGAGCAGCGGCGGCGTATTTAGCCGAAGGTCGTAGGTCCCGCTTGTGACTGACTTTTTTATCTCAACCAAAACCTTAATAATTGAAAATAAATGATAATCTTTAATCCGTGTGGCATTGAACTTTAAAGATTTTGTTAGAAAAAATTATATGCAAATTTAAACAATCAAAATTTTTCATCGAATTTTTGACAGTTTATGTGATGTTAGATTTATAATAGAAAGAAACATTTTAATATATAGTCTTGAAAAATTTATGTCAGGGTATCTGATAGAAATAAGGAATTATATGAAAAATCTCTCATCCATCTTGATACGAGAACTCTTTCAGATCCGATTCTGATAAGCTTAAGATGAAAATCAATTTGCATATTTTGTTACGTGTTGCAACTCGCTTTTGACCTAATTATCTGATGAAAAAGACTACCAATTGATTTTACGCCCTTAATAAAAGGTGTTTAAAGCCTCGTAAGCATGTTTTATGATAATGTTCTCTTTCTTCTAAGAGGAATTTAATTTCCGTTTCATTAAGGAAACTAGACCGTGTACAAGTACGGACATGGACTCACGTACGGACCCGAAATCGTCTGGGGCACGTGCCAATTCGACGATTCAGCTATCTTACAGTCTCGATACTTCCTTGTTTATCCAAGGATGTGGGTCATTTCATTTACAAGATGAAATCTTTTAGAAAAACGGAAAAAAGTTCGGTTATTTTTTCAAATTAGTATTCTGTACATTCATTATGCAGCGTTATACTGTACTTTCTCAGACTTTTATCCAGCCCTTTCAATTTGCTTTTCGTCGATCCTTTCATATACTTCAAAAATTTAGCTCTCTTTCTGACTCATTTCGCTAATTATTTGAAAATTTTCAATAATCTCATGAACTCGACCATGGTTAAAAAACAGTTTGATAAATGGCATGGTCAGGTACTTGACTCGTACAAAATCCAGACAGAGAACCGAGTACACTTTAAAAGTAGATTACTCACCGTATCAAAACATCACACATAATAAATTTATTAGTGACAGAAACAAAAACATTATCTATAAAAACCGTTAGTCTGCCAGAATGAGGTGGAATTGGACTAAAAACAGACACACAGGTGTACCCAGGTAATTAGGTGCTTTTTCCTTTAGGAGAGTTAGGGATTTCCCTTTTTTGCACTCAAATTTTGTAACTATTGTGTCTCAGCTCTGCTAATGTTTTTCCTGGAAGATTTTTGTTTCTTTAATCAATCAGAATTTTTCTCGGTTTGGAATCGAAGTATACATTGGTCAAGAATGGCTCTCCTAGGAAATAAATTCGTAAACTGACCGCCTATTAAAGTCGCATGATTTTGAGCCTTTCGACTTACGAGACTCACAGCGTATCATTGCTCATAGTCGGGATTCGGCCTTAGAGGGGTTCAGGCATAATTCCACGGATTGTAACTTCGCACCACCGAGTGCATGAACCAATTGCTGTTCCTCTCGTACTAAGCAGGATTATTAGAGCAATGACATGTCATCAGAAGGGTAAAACTAACCTGTCTCACGACGGTCTAAACCCAGCTCACGTTCCCTATTGGCGGGTGAACAATCCGACGCTTGGCGAATTCTGCTTCGCAATGATAGGAAGAGCCGACATCGAAGGATCAACAAGCGACGTCGCTATGAACGCTTGGCCGCCACATACCACATCCCTGTGGTAACTTTTCTGACACCTCTTGCTGAAAATTCTTCAAGCCAAAAGGATCGATGGGCCGTGCTTTCGCAGTCCCTATGCGCACTGAGCATCGGGATCAAGCCAGCTTTTGCCCTTTTGCTCTACGCGAGGTTTCTGTCCTCGCTGAGCTGACCTTAGGACACCTGCGTTATTATTTGACAGATGTACCGCCCCAGCCGAACTCCCAACCTGGTAGTGTCCTCGAATCGGATCACGCCATGGAATATGTCGCCGGCAGGCCCGGCTGGTCCGAGAGACGCGGCGCAGCCGGTCCGGGCCGAAGCCCTTCTCGGCGCGAGCGCGACTCCTTACAGACCGACGACCCTTTGCGCTTAGGGCGAAATATACCATCTCGCCGGGGTTTTACGCCCGTCGGACGCCTTCCGCCTCATCGAGTAAGTAAGGAAACGCCTTTGTCTCCTTCATCAATAGAACATTAGAAACAGCGCAGCGAAAAATACTTCTAAAAATCACTAGAGCATACCGTACTGCTCCTACGGAAGCTCTCTGTGTAATTGCCGGAGTAATCCCAATTATATTAGAAGTTGAAAAACGGCGTAGAATTTATGAAGAAACGCAAGGAATGGAACCTGCTGTGCTGTCTAATGCATGCTATTAAAATCAACTACAGCATAAACATTATCTTTATCGTGCCAACGTTTCGAACTTTAATGAGATCATCTTCTGTGCTCAAAGTGTTTATTTTCTGCACATTGTGTCAACACGACAAGAATGGCACAATTATGCAGAAAACAAACACTTTGAGCCCTGAAGATGATCTCATTAAAGATCGAAACGTTGGCACGATAAAGAGAATGTTTATGCTGTAGTTGATTTTAATAGCATGCAGCGATTATTCAAGTAGTATTTTTGCTCGGGAAGCGGTAGGCAAATTATTGTATTGAAATAGTAATTCTCGCTTTCTCCCTTGGAATTTTCCAACCGCTTATCTTTTAATTGCAGAGAGGAAATAAATCAGTGCGTTTTGAAAGTAGTGGTGCAAGAAGGCATTTCCCTCCTCTAATATTCGTCGGGCCAATTTTGATGTAACAAGGGGGAGAAAAAGGATTGTAAACCGTGTCTAAAAGTTTAATTGGAGGGTCCTGGTTGCTTAAGATTGCCGGGGACCCGGGCGAGACGGGCACGTGGGCGACGTCTAATGCCCGGCTAATCGCCACGTGGGCCGTTGGTATTCGACGGTAATTCCGTATGCGATTTTTGAAGTGTTTATTATGGGGAAAAAAGGTCCAGTTTGGTGTGTTCAGAATTTACCACGGAAGAGGATTCGAATGAGATTTTTATGTGGAAAAACTCGCACCGACTCGGCCACCAGGAGGGACTGTGGCATTCGAGATGTGGGTTTTCCATTGTTGGCCAACTCGTCCACGTCCCACTCCGGTTTGCTCTTTTCATTTCATTTGGATTCAAAGACTGGCGCTAATATTGATTGTGATATAATGGCTGTTGGATAAGACAATGGGCGAATTCTTGACGACCGATTAACTTTTACTCAGCGGCTTAAAAAAAGTTAATTATCATTCCACCTATGGAAATAATTACCTGTAAGACCAGGACATCTCATTTTCAGCAAATACACTTACAGGATTATTCCATCCAATATAATGCAGACCTTACCTAAACATTTGTTCTTTTATGTTTTATGTTACATCTTGCCTATGCCTCTTCCTAAAAGTCAGTAAACATATACCTATAACAATGGTTCCCTCTTCTAAACCCATTGCTTGCTGATTACTTTATTTTGATCTTAGTTGTAGATGAGAATTTCTTAATGTACGGTGCTTATATCTGTTAGTTTTCTGATAAGTTAAGCAACCCTTTGGATGATCCAGGTGGCCGTTAGTATTGTCTGTCTCCAAGCGATGCTAATTGATGATATATACCAGGGGGGCCAACCTGCGGCTCGCGAGCCACATGCGGCTCTCGATAAATGTACCCGAGTTCCCTTTTCATTTCTGTGCTATTATATTTTTAAAAATTATTATCGTTCCGTATGTGTTTCAAAATGTCTTTTAAATTACTGACAACAAATATGAAAGACTAAGTGCAACGTTGTAACAAATTTCATTTTCGTCCAAGTTAAGAACGATATGACTCATGGAAAACTGCGCGAACATAAACAGTGGCGGAATCGTCCGTAATCGACCGACTCCAGACCGATTTTGAATTTGTAAACTTTCATTGCCACAGTGTTACACATTGTAAATTACATTCGCACCAATGCAAAAAATCATCGACAATTCAAAAATTTCCTTGAAGAATTAAAGGACGAAGAACTTCCAAATGACGTATTAAATCGTTTTGTAGATATGCTTGATCCGATAACTGCATTTCTAAAAGAAAAGGAAATAACCTATTCAGAATTAGACGAAGACGAGTGGTTACAAAACTTAATGTTTTTGACTGATGTCATGGAACATTTGCAAACACTGAATTGCACAATTGCAGGGGAAAGGTAAATTAATATCTGCCCTCTCACCTGTATATTTATTTTTCAAACTAAATTACAACTTTTTCAAAAGGACATTAAAAATAAAACATTTTGTCATTTTCCTCGAATTAAAAAAATTTGTTCCAATATTAAACAAGAAAAACTCAACGAGTATATAAAACAGCTAGAAGGAATATTGACGGAATTCCAAAATAGATTTCAAGACTTGAAATATTTTAAATCGTCTCTTGATTTTTTTCTGAATCTATTTGAAATTAACATAATTCAAGGTGAGTTTTACATTTCCAATATAATTATGACCCAAAAAGCATCTGGAGAATTAGAATTAATAGAGATGCAAGAAGATCAAGCTCTACAATTAAAATATAAGTCGACGTCGATTACTGAATTTTGGAAATTTGTACCAGAATCAAAGTATCCTGAATTAAAAAAGGCTGCTTGTCGAATTATTTCAATATTCGGAACAACTTACTTATGTGAATTATTTTATTCCACTTTAAAATTCGTGAAACCAAACACCGATCAGTATTAACTAACCAGCATCTCAAAGAATTACTGAGAAGTGCTGTCACCAATTATTCACCAAATTTTAAACAATTATCAAGAGAAGTAAAATAAATGTGTTTAATTTTTAATATTCCATTTAATATATTAATAATATTCCATATTTAACTTCCACCCAAACTCCAAATGCGATTATTTAATAACGGAAGTAATAGACAAGGCGTTTAACTTCAAATCGCAAAATAAAACTGTAGTCTTTTGCTGGAGTAGGGGGCTTGCGGTATAAAGAGCAACGAAATCGTGGACTTGTTAGCTAAACGAGCAACAAAGGACGGGGATTTTATTGACATCAAATTGACAAAGTCTGACACCAAACGTTCCCTGATTAATAAATGGGTAAAAGCCTGGAGCATTTGGTACAACAGTGGTTCGGCGGTCATTTTATCGATCATTGTTTCCGGAAATAAATATCGCTCCATGGTTTTCGACAGAGTACGGAAGCAAAAAATTTTTTTCTGCCTCGACGCGCTTAAGAACAAATCACGGCATTTGTGGATCTTACCTACATCGAATTGGTCTTAGGTCGCCAAATTGCTCCACATGTGATGAGCCAGAGAACATGAGGCATATTGTCTTTTTCTGTCCTGAATATGAGACAGAAAGAGAGAATCTTTTAAGACGAATCTTCCAGCGGAAAGAGGTGATCAAGCCGTTCAGTTATGAAACCTTGTTGGCAACAAGTAGTGGTGTTATATACAAATATATTTTTGACTTCCTAGAAGATAGTGGAATAGATATATAGACTATTTAAACAATAATCTATGTCCGGGAGGCCTGCCCGCGCGGCCGGGGCNACAACTAAAAAAAAAAAAATAAAATAAAAAATAAAAAAAATTTATATTTAAATTCAATACACATATTTTGTACTTTTATTTATATGTTTTCAATAAATATAATTTCTGTAAAAAAAATTTTAATACCTTTTTTGCATACCTTTTAAATACGTATTTAATTGCGGCTCGCGAAAAATTTCAAATTTTGAAAAATGGCTCGGACTATCAAGGAGCTTGACCACCCCTGATATATACTATACTATATATATTACTACTGCTATATATATACTTTTTTTTTACAAGCTGTACAGCTTATTGTACTTTATCCCTGGCTCCATATTTTTTTTTTTGGGGGGGGGGCTCGCAACAGAAATGTGAACTTGAGCCCCTCATTTTTGAAGGGGGTTGGGACCAAATTCAGGGTCGCTGAGATCTAATCCCGCCCCTTCCATTGATGAGTGTCAATTTCCTCCAATTGCGGCCACCGGTCCCCTTAGGCGTCAGAAAAAATCCAGAGGCGACGGGGGGGGGATCGAACCCATGACCACGGGATATATTTACTACTACATACCAGAGTTGGGCAAAATCAAACTAATTCAATCATGATTAAGAATTTTGATTGAAGTTTAATCATGATTGAATTAGTCATGAGTAAATTAATCATTATATGATTTACTCATACCTCATGATTGCATTAATTATGATTAAACTTCAATCAAAATTCTTAGTCATGATTGAATTAATTTGATTTTGCCCAACTCTGGCTACAATGACCAACTTACCAAAATCCAACCGACTCCGGATAAAAATTTTCAGATGAGAGTCGTGCTCAAGGCCTACCTTCAAAAAGTATTATCATAAATGAAAACCAAAGTTACATAATTATTCTAAATGTCTATTTTATTACAATCAAGACACCTAGATGGTGTATTTTTCCAAATAATGGAAAAATCTCTCCTTTTAAGTGGAATAAATTTTAAATCAGAGAAATATTTTTTCCATTGATCTCATATGTATACATATTTACTTTTCAAAGCGTAGCTTATTCTAGGATTTTTTTATTTTATTTTATTATTATTATTATCTTCACTAATTTCGTGGTCCGCTTGACCAATTAATACTTTACAATTAATTAAGGTTTTTAGTTGAGATGAATAAAAGTTAATGGCACGAGAGGGATTCGAACCCACGACCTTCGGCTAGATACGCCGCTGCTCTACCACCTGACCTCGATCCAGTCAGACATCAACTCATGAAAAGTGGCAAAAGGAGGGAAAACTCATAAGGTGGGGTTGAGATGGGAAGTTAGTGTCNTTATCGATATTTAGTCATGACTAACTATATTGTGACTAATGACTAAATTAGTCACTTACTACCAATCATGACTAACGGTCTGAGTGATCAATCATTAATCATTAGACATGACTAATTTTTGCCCAACTTTGCTATATACTATATATATAGTATAGTAGTAGCAGTAGTCTAAGCTAGATTATATCAGATGTAGATTTACTTGACGTGGCCAAAGAATATTATGCACATTATGTTTTAGGGAGCTACTGTTTCTTATTTAACTTTAGGCTTTTCATAACCTCCATGGCCTTCATGTTGTCTTAGACCGTTACTGTAACACATAATATTTTGCACTGCTTCTCCTAATAATTTTAAAAGATAAATGGCAATGTCCTGATAACAGACCTGCAATCAAAAATTAGTCCGGCTTTTCTACAGTTGGTCTGTAATGGCATAGGCGAGATTTTTTTTGAGTGGGGTTCTTTTTTGGGCAAAAGGATTTTAGTACTAATGGGGATGAGGTCCTCCTTGGCTTGTCCATAACTTAGACAGGAAGCCTCATTTGCTTCCTTTTATATTTTAGTAACAGAGTCTAATCGTACTGAGAAGAGCAGGGACGGTATCGGTGGTAAGAGACGGCTATGTGCAGCGTATAGCGTGAGAGCCCATGGCAGATGGTTGAAGAAGCGAATGTGCCGAGTAAGGAGAGTGAAAAGTCATCACCGGCTGATGAGTGAGCTAGCTGTTCAAAAGACCCTGTTGCTTGTCCTCGTTGTTTCGATACTGTGAGAATTGCTTCTGTTGGCTACTTGCTTCATCAGTGTGAAAGCTGCATTCTCATTGGCTGATGCTTGTTAGAAGGAAGAATTATCGATAATGTATAGATTGTAGATACTTATGTCCAAGATTCGAGACTATTATTAGCAGATCTTCAGTATAAGAATGAAGACTATAGATAGCTAGGTGATAAATACTGAATAGTAATGATGATTGTTTTTAACAATGGATACCAGGAACTAGAAGATTACCCCCTGAGCACTGGAGCTGTTCAGCTTATTGTACTTTTTCCCTAGCTCCATTTTTGGGAGCACCCCAGTGTGCCGGTGTTCTTCATCGAAGAAATTCATGTTTAAAGTGTGTTAGGACTAAATTCAGGTTCAGTGAGATCTGATCCCGCCCCTTCCATTGATGTCAATTGCGGCCAACGGTCCCCTTAGGCGTCAGAAAAAAAGTCCAGAGGCGACGGTGGGGATCGAACCCACGACCGCGGGATCTACTAGCCGAGGGTCTGACTTAATCATTCGGCTACCGCCCCTCCCCAGTAATGATGATTAGTCGAAATAAGTTAAATTCACGCTAAAAATTGAACCATGGATATGGATGTACCAACAGAATAGCTGGCCTAACGCTGGGACTAACTTTAAACTGAAGAGTTCCGACATACATATAAAGCTGACTTAGGCACTCTCCCTCAATTTCCTAGCAAAACAATTGAGCTTAAAATAAAACGGTTAAACCTTTTATTACTAAACTAATTCAGGCTAAACTCGTGCTTTTGAGGTGAAAATAGAAAACGCCAATGATACCGTTGAAGATGTGAACTGGAGAATGAACCAATTAAATCCAACCAATTGGTTATTGGGTACTATAAGAAGTTTTACCCAAAAACCAATCACCTCGAGGGCACTGACGAAATAAACTAGACTTTTCTTCCGTCAGCGCAATTATATTTATAACGAACATAACACCTTACCATTTTTTCAAATTGTGCAGTACTTTTTGCGATAACCACAATTTTACAGTTATCCGCAGATGAGAGACAGTCCCCTAGCTTGTTGGCCACCTTGTCTGATCGAAATAACCTCAGACGTGCAAGAAAATAAGAAAATGCTTATTTCAGGAGAAAAATGTAGTCGGGAAGATTAATTTATGTAAGAGTGAGCCACCGTCTCAGCAAAAGTACAACTTACAATCAGTACAGAACATCAGACCGTAAAAAGTTTTGATCTTTCTGGCATTATTTAAAACAAGGGGCATTATTTAAATTATTTGCATTACAAAAAAAAACTAATAATCGGCAACCAATTGGTAATAAATCAGCATATGATAGCCGCGAAACGTCGACTTCTCTGATAACTGGTCCCATAAAATATAAATATCACCGTAATGAATCCAGCCAAATGTCGTCAGTCGTCCTTCACCAGAGAAAAAGGTCTCAAAAAGGGTTCAAAGAACAGAAACGAAGAAATCCTTGTTGATTCTTCTTTCATTTTTGGCATTTTTAACGGATTAAAATTCTAACTGTCCAGATTCTCAAAGAATACAAATATCCTCATTAGAATTTATTTGTGATTCGTATAATTTTTGACCGTGCGAAATAAAATTATTGGTCTCTACAAACAGGTAGTCACAAAGGTTCGTTTTTTTATGCCGTCAGTTTATCTATTGATCTTACACTCTTTCTCACTTTATTCGACCTTCCACTTTCTTTTGTCTTATACTGTATTGGGATGGAAAATTCAAAAGATATATTTTTCAAATGCAACCTGTTTCATAAAATTCGAAATGTTTCTCCCTTCCTTCTTTCCTCTCACTCTCCATTTCTTCCTTCTCTCACTCTCTCTCTGTATCTATATTTATCTCTACCTATCAATCTCACTTAATGTATAGATTTATTTATGAATTTACCTGTCAAAATGTCTATCTCTCTCTATCTCATATTTATCTTTCTTTCTCTCTCTCTTTCTCTCTAACTATCTATCTCACTCTGTCTATTTATGTATGAATCTACCCGTCAGAATATCCTATCTCTATCTCTTACTTTCTTTCTCTCTCTCCTCCTTTTTCTTTTTCTCTTTCTCTTTATCTCTCTATATATTTATTTAGTTATAAGTTGTGTATCATCTGTCTAAATGTCTACTTACCTCTACCTCTCTCTGTCTCTCTCTATCTCTCTTTCTCTCTCTACCTATCTATTTTATATGTATCTAGTTATGCTTGTCTCTCACTCTCTTTTTCTGTCTATTTGTCTAATTTTTTTTATCTGTCCATCTAAATTTCGCATGTATCTCTTTTTTTTCTTGTTCTCACTTTTTATCTTTCTCTTTATCTCTCTATATATTTATTTAGTTACATGTTGTGTATTATCTGTCTAAATGTCTACCTACCTCTATCTCTCTCTCTATCTCTCTCTGTCTCTCTCTATCTTTCTTTCTCTCTCTACCTATCTATTTTATATGTATCTAGTTGTGCTTTTCTCTCACTATCTTTTTCAGTCTATTTATCTAATTTTTTTCCTGTCCATCTATATTTCGCATCTCTCTCTTCCTTTTTCTTTTTCTCACTTTTTATCTTCCTCTATTTCTCTTTTTATATTTATTTAGTTATATGTTGTTTATCATCTGTCTAAATGTCTACTTACCTCTATCTCTCTCTTACTCTCTCTACCTATGTATTTTATATGCAAAAAATATGTATCTAGTTGTGCTTTTCTCTCACTTTCTTTTTCAGTCTATTTATCTAATTTTTTTACCTGTCCATATATTTCGCATCTCTCTCTTCCTTTTTCTTTTTCTCACTTTTTATCTTCCTCTATATCTCTTTTTAAATTTATTTAGTTATATGT